GTGTGTGTATATACATATATGAAAAGTCATTCACTACATACCTATCAGAATGGCCCAAATTCAAAACACTGACAACACCAAATTCTGATGACAATTTGGAATAGGAACACTCACTGACTGCTGGTAGAAATGCAACATGGTGCAGCCTTCCAATGTGATGGCAGTCAGCAGTCTCTTACAAAACTAAACACATTCTTACCACACAGTCCATCAAAGTGTACTGTTTTTACCCAGATGAACTGAAAACTATGTCCACACAAAATCCTTCACATAGATGTTTGTAATAGCTTTAGTCATAACTGCCAAACTTAGAAGTAACCGAGATGTCTTTTAGTGGGTAAATGGATAAACTGTAAGACATCCAGACAATGGGATAGTGTCCATCACTGAAAAGCCATCAGAAGACATGGAAGCTGAAGTACATACTACTAAGTAAAAGAAGCCAATCTGAAAATCTACATTTGTATACTGTCGGATTCCAACTACACGATATTCTGGAGACAGTGAAAAGTTCAGTAGTTGCCAGGAGCTGGGAGAGAAAGGACATATGGACAGAGCACAGAAAATTTCCAGGACGGTGAAACTATTCTGTGTGATACCACAATGGTGGATACAGGCCATTGCACATTTGTCCAAACCCACAGAATGTACACGAAGAGGGAACCCTAGAGTTAACTTTGGACTGGGGGGGACAACGACATGTCAGCATAAGTTCATAGGGCCTACCACTGTGGCATGGGGTATCGATAGTGGGGGGCTGCGAGGGGCCGAGGGTGGATAGGAACTCTCTACTTCCCACTCAATTCTGCTTTAAACCTAAAACTGCTCAACAAAATAAAGCCTTTTTTTAAAAAAAAGAAAACTAATAAATACTGTAAAAGTAGTGTCCATACAAGTTAAACAGGATCACTGATGTAACATGATTATCCCACAAGTCTAGTCAGTGCTTACCCAATTATCCAATATGCCTGTACTTGCAAACCTCAGAGGCTGAAAGCAGACATCCATTTAGTCTGAAGGGACTTTCCCTCCCTCCCACCCACTCCCCGCCTACAGAAATCCTAAATACTCTAACTCTTCACAGATTGCTCAATATGTCAGGGACATATTAAGGCAGCTATCATTTATGACACTACGGTTATTTGTCATCATCCCTATGTTGTTTATCTTCCAACTTACACACTCCAGTTGCCTTCCTGGCTCATCCCATTTGAGCTTGTACCCACTTAGTTACTTGCTTCTATGTTTCTCACACCTATTAAATTTTAAGTTTCTTGAGAGCAAGAGTTTGTCTCCTTTCATTCCTCCCATATGACTATAGTGTATATTCATTTACTATTTTCAGAATGTACTAAAGTATTAGTACATTAGTGAACAAAACAGAAAAAATGTTAACATTTAATCCATTATGAATGTTGCTCCTTAAGCTTCAACAACTGGTAGCACTGATTCTTTGTTAAAATTCACTTCCAAACTCTATATCCTTTTTACACCTAAGTTACAAATAAACTTTTTGAGGATTGGAAAAGTGAGTGGTTGAGACACAGAAAAGGAAGGAAGAGAAAATGTATTGAAGATCTACTTTTACCTGTCAGACTAGGCTCAGTAATTGAGAGAGAAGCAAAACCCAGCAGCTAGAAGTGTTTGCCACATCCCTGGGGACAGACCTTGCTAGACCAGTTAGGACTAGCATTCCAGGACAGCCACTGAGATTCTGCAACAAGCAGGAACCATACAGAGTTGCCAGAACGGGGAGCAGTTACTTTGTGTAAACTTTGTAGGTACTTGAAGCATTATTACAAGTGGTAAACTGATGCCACTTGAAGAGTCCATGACTTCCCCCCTGCCCGGCTTGGGTTCTCTTCTCTTTTTAATTAAAGCAGTAGATTCAATTACTTTAGGAAGTCTCACTAGGTAGATACCTGGTGCTGTCCTATTTCCTTGGAGGAAAACAGATCATAAAGGAATGTCATTTGATCCTTGCTATCAAAACAGAATTAGAAAAATCTGAAACCAAAAACAATTGTTTCCATTTAAGAGTGTAATAATTAATCATCTTTCATGAGAGAAGAATCATAAAGCAAGTAGTTGGAGCTAAAGGTACTCTGTTGCTTGAGATGTTGTACTGGAAAAACTTTTCTTAATTAAATTTTTTATTTAAGATGTCTGTAGATTCCCAAGTAGTTGAAATATACAATACAAAAAGATCTCATACCATTTACATTTACCCAGTTTCCCCCAGAAGTAACATCTTGCAAAACCGTAGTACACTATCAAAATCACATACTGATACTAATAAGGTTGAGAGGCACACATTTCCATCCACACAAAATCCCTCCTGTTGCCCTGTTATAGCCATACCCCTTTGCCTCCAGCTGCCCTCCCCACTTCTGTAACCCCTGCAGCCACTGATCTGTTTTCTCTGTTTATATGTTTGTCATTACCATGATGTTAAGTAAATGGAATATGATATGTAACTTTTGGGATTGGCTGTTTTCACCTTGGATAATTACCTGGAAATGCATCCTACTGTAAAACCTTTTAATTTGTACAATCACAAAACATAATTACAGCCTGGTAAAGTAAATGAGATCTTGGGTTCACTGATGACTCACATGAACCCAAAGGAGACAGAAAGTGAAATTTCATTCTGATCTGCTATATCTGTGTTTTTCTGCTACTACAAAGACACAGGCACTCTTGTTGTCAAATTGTTTTACCACCAAGACTGTTTTACACTTTAAAATTATAAAACTGCATGCTTGTGCGGCCATAAAGTTGTATGAAACTTGTCTCCGAAGAAAAACATTTCAGATAGACATGAATTTACAATGAATTTCCTGAGTTTTTCTACTTACAACTAAGTCTCTCTCGTACTACCAAAAAAACAAGCAGCCCTGGCTGGTGTGGCTCAGTGGATTGAGTGCTGGCCTGTGAACCAAAGGGTCACGGGTTCAGTTCCCAGTCAGGGCACATGCCTGGGTTGTGGGCCAGGTCCCTGGTGGGGAGAGTGTGAGAGGCGACCACACACTGATGTTTCTCACTCTCTCTTTCTACTTCCCTTCCTCTCTGCCTTCCCCTATGTCTACAAATAGATAAATAAAATCTTAAAACAAACAAAAAAACAAGCAAACAAGAAAAAAAGCCTGTAATTGCTGTTGTTTGGAAAAGCAACCCTCGTCTTGACTTTTAACCACAGCAAAGAAGAAATACATGCATCCGTTAACTTCAAAATCTTAAAAAACATGAGATGATTTGTTTCATCTTCAATTTTTTCTCTCAATCCATTTAGGATATCGTTCAAAACCACTTCTAATACCTGCCAAACTTGGCAATAGAATCCTATTACTGAATGATCATTTGAAAAGCAAAAGTAAAATCCAGACCAGATAATTGGCTAACTTTCTACCCCTTACCATCTTCAAAAGCAGAAATGAAATCGGCTCATCTCACAACAGCAAACCTGTAACACAAAAGAACAACCTACAAATAATGAAAGGGTCTGCAACCTGTTGGCATGTTTATAAAACAGAGGCCTAAAACTCATCCGTCTTTTAACCACAGCACTCTGTGTTGGTGATACAACCTGTTAAGCAAATCAAAACTCATTAGTCACCAGTCAAAAGATTTCTAAATGAGGCACATACTATGCTAAATTTCTAACTTAGCTATAAAGAGATAGAGCTAGAGGAAAAGAGATAGGAGAGATAGATACAGGGAAGAAGGAAAGGGGGAGGTGGAGGGCAAACCTCCTAGGCAGTTGCTTCAAATGTTTGCACGCTTAAATAAATTGTGGAGGAAAGTAACAATGTTATTTAAACATTTAATCACTTTCCCAGTAAAAACCAAAACCAAAAAAAAAACAGGTAAATTTAAACTTTCTTAATTAACTGGACTACATATAATGTATGTACACACACAAAAGCCCCTTTAGGACTGACTTCCTTATCACAACTTTGAATCACACTCCTTTTCCTGTTTGGAGAAGGGTTCTAAGGTTAATACCACTGGTTCCACTTAGACACTGGCAGTTAACTGGGATAACAGTCCACAATCACTATTTCCTGCTATTGGCTCACTGACATGGGTTTGTCTCCACAACGGTATTGGTTTGCTTCACAGTTTCAGGGTCGATAAAATGTGTTGCACAAAGTGGGCAACACGTTGTGCAGAACTGTTGACTATTAAGAAAACACATACATACGTATTTAGAACAAGAGCTACAGAATTCCAGAATGGAACAGACTTTCTAACTCCTAAACATCCTACAGAGGGTGGAGATAACATAGCTTAGTGCCACTATGTGTCCAAAAGCTGAATGTTGTGCCCTTTAAATAACTGATCTACAGCTCAACTTTCTCATCTGAACAATGAGAATAGCACCTAACTCGCATGGTTTAAAAGGATTAAAAAACTTGGTATATCTGAAATCAAGGCCTGGTGCACTACACACTACATAAGGGTTAGGTACTGGTAGTACTGAAGAAGACCATTACAATAAAAGTAAGGCCACTGGTCCCACAACAGGCCAAAAGTTTAAAAGACATATTCTAGAAAAGATAAAATCAGGGGTTGGCAAACTTTTTTTTTTTAGGTCCAGACACCGCTGTAAATATTGTGGCTCCTCAGGTCAAGAGACAAAAGCCACATCCTTTGTAGCAATTATTCTCCTGAAAGACCAAAAAGTTATTGGTGTTTACATTTTACGACTTTAGGACTCATTCCAAAACAGGTTGGCTTTGGACTCAGGGCCATAGTTTAGCGACCCCTGGATAAGATTATAATGATTATAACACAAGTTAGTGCTTTTTAAAGGCAACAGAACGTTTGTGACTTGATTAAAGCTGAGTGGGAAACGTGCTGCCCCCAAACTTCTAAAATCCAGACAGGCATGGCGGGTGCGGTAAGGAATAGGCTCAGGACGGGGCGAAGGCCTCAGAAGCAAGCCAGGGCGTGCGTGGCCCGGCTCTCCGGTCCAGCCGAGCCCTCGCCACACTTACTCCCAGCAGCGGGCCGCGGCCGATCACCGTCTCTCCGGGCCCCAGGGCGACCCGGGCGCCGCCGTCCAGCGGCTGCAGCTCAAAGACCCCGGACATGGAGGCGAGGATCAGGCCCCTTCGCAGAAGCAGCCGGTCCCCACAGCTGTTTCTTCCTTCCGGGACAAGCCCCAGGCCTACACACTCCCTCGGAAAATACTCGGGAGGGAGGGGAGCCAGGACTCCGTGGGCTCGCGTGAGTCCAGCGGCGGGGAGCTGAGCCGCGCGTCCCGAGCCCCGCCCCTCCACTCGCTGGGGCCAATGACTCACTCAGGGATTCCCTCTCACTGGGGCCCCCACAGCTATTATTTAAAAGCCCCGGGCAAACCCACCCCGCCCCTTTCTCACCGACACCTGTTGTAGAGGACGCCGGACCTTGTAGTCCTCAGCGGCTTCCCTCTCCTCCTCTGCGGAGCTGAGACGCGCTGGTAAAACTACCAATCCCATAAGGCAACGCTCTCGGTGCACTCCCAGACAACCAGAAATCTGAGTGAGTCACTGGGCTGGAGTGGGCGGAGCCCGGAGGACTACCGGGATGGCAACGTATCCGAGCTTTAAATCGCAGGAGCACACTCGGGCACGGTCAGGCAGGTAAGAGGGTCTCCCTTTTCTTCCCAGTGGGGGTCTGGCCTGCAGCCTCGATGTTCGGCTCTGTAGCCGGCGCAGCCTCGGCTCAGCACGCCGAGCCGAAGTGTCAGTCATGCTCCCGTTGTTATTGTTGGGTGATTGTTTGTGCTCCGGGTTCTTCGAACCCTAGCAGCTGCGGCCTGCGCGGTGCACGCCAGGAGGGTGGCTCCGACGAGACCCGGGGTCATTCCTTCCGACTGGCGGGGGGTCTGGACTGGGTGAATGCTCCCCGGTAGCTGCAAGGCTCCTGAGGCCAGGTCTGCGCTACCTCCAGATCCCTTCCTCCGTGTGACACCCGAAAGGAGCGAGCCTTCCCCAACTAGTGAGACAATTCGGCAAAGTTTGGTTCATAAAGAAGAGGCAGAAAAGGGATAGTTTTCCAGGCATCCAGGCAAAACTGGACTTAGAAGAAAGAGCCAACATAACGAATCGAAGAAGATGCCAGGAGAACGAAGACCCACTGAAATTCAAAATATTGCCTCTGATAACCAGCACCCTAATATCCTAAAAATGCTTGGAAACCAACACCCCAATTCAAAATATTGCCTCTTGTAGAGTAACTAACGAGAAGTAGCATTTTATTCCCTAATGAGATCCTGGAAGTAGTCACTAACAGCAACATTCTCCTAATATAAGATTTGTTTCGAGAATATAGTAGTGTGACTTTGGTGCTGTGTTGATAAGTGAGGGTGTGGCAAAAACCTGCGGTTGACTCAGGAACTTGTTTTTACCACTTTGTTTTCTTCCCCAGATCAAGAGGAAGTCCTCTGTTGAACAGAGGCGTCAAAATTCTAACCACCACAGTTAATTTGGATCATAAACAATCACATGAATGGAAGCAACTGTGGTCTTGGTAAGTCCAGAAACATATAGGTGAGTAGCTCATCTAGAAAGGGGAACTGTCCTGAGCTAAGTTAAAATAAGTATGGAGCTGTATCTCAACACCCTCCTTTAACACCACCACTCCCTATTATAAAAGGAAGTGCAAAATGGAATAAACTGATTTTAAGTGAGTATAAGATGTCTTTATATGCAGAAATAGCTCAGCTGGTTTTGAAGCCTGCACCATGCATCTTAGGTAAATTAGCTGAAACTGTGCTTTAAATCTTCATCCACATGCTATACACCTAGCTGAATAATTAACATTGTTTATAGTGGTTAGTTACTGTTGCGTGATAGCCCCTGTGACTGTTATCCTTGGTTCATAATTAACTACAGGATAGCCTCAAGAGGCCATTTCTAAAACACCAGTCTGATAACTGAATTGAATATTTGAGACTTTGTGTCATCATAACCCTGACCCTAACTTCTTGTCCATTTTAGATAGTATTTGTGTCCAGTGTGACCACCTACCCATCAGGTATAAATGGATAAATAGCTCTTACATAAACTACAAAATGTCTATCAGGTTTATGATGAAGTCACAAATTGCAGATGAAGAACTTTAATGGCAAAGCATTCGTTCCCACAGACAAGTATTTGGGAGTTTGATAGAATTGAATCATACAGATTTCCCACGGTATTTTCAATAAATATTTGGAATGGAACATCTTCTCACATTTCTACTAAACTCAATAGATTGTGAAGAGTCACTTCTCTTTTTTTTTTTAAAGAAAATCTTTGGGACCAAGCAGAAACACAAGTGTTTAGTAACCCTTTTACTAAAAATATTAAAAAAGAGTGAAGTGACATTTGTTGAGTGCCTCCAGTGTGCAATTCAGATGTGAGGCTCAGTGATTTACACACTAATCCTAGCACCAACATACATGAGAGGATCATTTTGGCCCCATTTTACAGAATAGAAAGCTCGAGTCAGGAAAGGAAAAGTTTTAAAATTCATTCCCAGGAAGTATCTGGCTCGGAATGGCCCTAGTCTGACCTAAAGAGACTAAGTTTAAACTCTGTCCTTTAGGTTACCCATGAGGATAATTAACTAAAAACGTCAAGCTATGAAGCATAACTCCAAGAAGAACAGTAACTCAAGAGTTTCTGACACAGAATTGAACTCTGTGGATGCTGAAGAGAGTCAAAATAACTTTTTTGAAAGGCTGCCTCTAGAAGTTACTTTACACATTTTCAGCTGGCTGGACGTTCAGAGTTTATGCAGGGCTTCAATGACATGCCGGAGCTGGAATTTCAACATCAGACTCAGTGACTCCTTATGGAAACCTCACTGCTGGGCTCTAAGAGCTGTATGCAAAAGAGAAATAGATGATGATCTAAAAAGTGGTTATTCCTGGAGGGTAAGTTTAATTTTTGTGGTCTGCAGTGTTCTTAATAATATGGTGGTAGGTTTGAACCCAGCTGTACCTTCTGCTTGGATGAGGTAGTATTCATATACAGAATGACATTCAGAATGAGTTGGCTTTTGAACATAAAGTTGAATTATTATTTTTTTCTGCACACCACACTATCCCCCATTTGTTTTTTTAACATTTTTAAAGTCATACATTAGCGCATTTTCCTCTGTGAACCAGAAGGAGGGTGGCTACTTCTTTTCACTTCACATTATCCAAAACCCCCAGCAAACTGTGGCTCACTCTGTAGATATACACATACACATGTATATCTACACACACACACATACACGCACACAAATTTACTAGTATATGTGTATATCTATGTAAATACTTCATCTTCTTTTCAACCCTGTCAATCAGCTTCTCAGGTTTGAAGCAAACTCGCCAAGCAGCAACATGCTACATTGTTTAATGATGACTGCTTGCCTCTTTCAGGATACACTACTGAGGAATTACCAGAAGAGTAAAGTGAAGCTTGAATGGCTAAGTGGCCGATACAGCAACATATGTTCTCCTATTAACCTACCGGAAAAAATCATGTACCCAATGGATGCAGAAACGTGGGGAGAAATTCTAGAAGCAGAACTGAAAAGGTGCAAAAATCACAAAGCTACCATAGCTTTGAGAATTTAAAACTAGCATGATTCCTAGATTGCAAAATGTATGTTTTTATCCATTCTTTTTTTGTTCACCTTTTTAAAATAGTTAACATTTAAAAGAAAACTAAGTGGAAAATATTATAAAAGTAAAGCTTTGTTTATACTTGGCACTTTAGTAAAAAATATTTTTCTGGTTTATAAGGGGAAAAATCATGAAATGTTTTTATATGAGAAACAATGTACCAGTAGAGTGATTCCCAAATGTATTGTTTCATGTATTTGTGTTAGTATATTGTGGTACAACTAATGATGATAGAGTTTGGTATTTTTTGCTTAATGATAATTTGAAAATTCAGGAAACCATTTGAAGAAACTGCCTTAACAATTCATTAAATAGTAGGCATAACTAGGCTCATTGGAAGATTACCTAAATGAAATTAATAGCAATATGTTTAAATGTATAAAAGTTTATATTTCAAAAACTTTAAAATTTTCATTTCAGTGAAACCAGATTGAATGGCCAAACATTGAAAGCATCTTAAAACATACTAAACTTGTGGTTTAGTTTCAAATTAATCGGACCCTAGGGCTGAAACGTGTGAGATTCAGGTTCCCACTACTTGCCTACAGACTTAGAATTGCTCTCAGGGACTGAAACAAACAGCTGCCATTCCATTTTTCTTAGCAAAACTGATTCTTATAGCCTTGTAGCACCATCTAGTGTTCTACTCATAGATAACCAAGACAAAGGACTTGGCTCCTTTTTGTTTCTCCACCTTTAAAGATTTTTATTTTTAGAGAGTGGGGAAAGGAGGAGGAGAAGAAGAGAAATCAATGTGTGGTTGCCTCTCACATGCCCCCTACTGGGGACCTGGCCTATGACTCAGGCCTGTGCCCTGACTGGGAATCCAACTGGTGACCCTTTGGTTCACAGGCCAGCACTCAATCCACTGAGCCACACCAACCAGGGCTCTCCACATTTATAAGAAAGAAAAATATTGTTTTAAAGAACCTTAAGTATAAGACTTAAAGTTTATAGCTTTCCAGGAATTTTTAATTTAACTTTTGTTCTTTTTCTTAAAAGTAGTTCACTATACCAGATTGTCCATTCTGAATTTGTGGCCAGAACCAGGGTAGAAGGTACTCACAAAACAGTTAGCATGGGATTTTCTTCTTCAATTGTGCTTTATAGCATGAAAATTAGAATCCAGGAAACCAGTATTTAACAAATAGGGAAATATCAGAAAGATACCCCATTCTCTACAAATTCCCTTTGTTGGATGAAGTAGGTGATGACTCACTGTCTCCTACTGTCTTCTTAGAGTTGGAAGGGGCCTTAAAGATCCAGCAGCCCTATTTTTAAGACTACTCAGCAGCCTTGTCTTTAGGAATGTTTTCCTATTACCCATCATTAATTCTTTCCTTGGCAGTCTTATTGTAAAACTTAGCATCTTGATCTGGAAACCATCCCTAGCTTCAACCATTCTGGATTAAGTGACTCTGCTAAGGTTCCCTGTAGTTCTTTGCACATTCCATCCTCAGAGTTGTCATACTACATTAAATTGTTTTATTTGTCTCCTCTAGACTGTGAGACTTTTAATGGCAGGGACCATTTATTTATTTTTGTGTTCCCAAAGCCTGGAACACAGTAGGTATTCCATAAAGATTTATTAAATTATTTATGTATTATTTAATTCTACCCAGAATATGTAATAAAACTAATTTATTATATGTTAGTAGGCAAGTACTGAAATGTAATGTACAATGCACAAGATATGTGGTATGCTTGATATTAATGCTAATATATGAATAATTGTCCTAGTCTCAAAAGCTGTAAGAGAAAAATAGAATTTTAAAATTTTTAATATTTTAAATAAACACTTGAAAATACACTTAACCCCCAAAGTATCATTTATTACTTTTAATTTTGGGTCTTTATTGTGGTATTTGTAATATTGTATTTAAGTAATTCTTTGGATAATAAGTTATGAGCTATGATCACAGTCTACACTGAAAGCAAAGTTTTGGAACTCAAAGATAAGTTTTATGGTCTGGGCTTAGAATAAACTGTACATTTATCAGACCAAGCCATTAGCTTCTGAAAACATGAGTGGGTGGAGTAATATGGAAGGAGTGTTATTAGTCAGATAAAATTACATGTTGAGTTTGCACAGTTTGTAAAAGAGGTAAGATTACTGGGGTGAGTATTAAGGAATTTCCAGGTTTTTTACTATTTAATCAGCTCAAGATCTTTTTTTTTAATAAAGTAAACATTAAAAAACAATAAAATCTCATCTAATAAAAAATAATAAAATAAATTTAGGAGGCTTTTTTCTTAATTGCTTTTAGTTTGTAACCTATTCTTAGACCAGGGCATAACCATCAATAAAATCTATATGAATACAAACTGTAGACCTTAGAATATTCACATAAATACAAGCTAATTTGAAAAATATAACCCTAATTACTTTCATTTCATCTTTGTTTTGACTTTATATAATATCTTCTCTCCAAAACTTCAAATATCTAATAGTATTAACACAAAGAAGATGGGTAGTAACAGCAGGATATGGATTGGGAAGAAGGATACAGACGATGGAAGATCATGCCTTTCTAGAGTGGACTTGAAAGAATAAAAGCATCAAATTGATTTATTGTAATAGTTAACATTTACTGAGTGCCCGCTCTGCACCGAGCATTAGCTTATGTGGGGGTGCTATTACTGTGTCTCCCCTTTATGAATGAGAAAACAAAGTCAGCAAATGATTGATGTAGTTCATCATCACTCCTCAGGAATCTAGGAGTGTGCAATAGTCTGTGCTAAATAAACTTCTATGGGATGAATGAAAAACTTAGAGTGAACAACTCAAGTGGAAGAGTGAAGAATGTTCCTCCAACTTTTTATTTTGAAAAATTTTAAACCCACAGAAAAGTAAAATTATATGACAAAAACTCTTACGTAGACCCTTCACCTAGATATACCTGTTGTTAACATTTCCACATTGGATTTAATTGTGCTGCAGTGTTTGAAAACAGGTTACAAAAGTGATGGTACTTCACTCCTAAATATTTCAGTATCCATCCTAATAAGTACAATATCATTGTCACATCTAACATTTTGTATTAATTCAATAATATATAACTTAAAATCTATACTTAAATTTCCTCAAATGGCCCCCAAAATAAATTTTATAGATTTTTTCCAGTTCAGGATCCAAGTAAGGTTTACATGTGCATGTCATTTCTATGTCTCTTTAATCTCTTTACTAGTGTTTTCCTGCCTTTGGCTTTGTTTTTCAGGATATTGACTTTTTTTTTAAGAATTGAGGCTTGTTATCTTACAGAATGTGCAATAATTGATTTGACTGATTGTCTCAGCATGGTTTGATTCAGGTATAACATATTTAGCAATTATACCACGTAGGTGATGTAATATACTTTGTAGTATACCACATTAAGAAGCACACAATGTCTGAGTGTTCTATGTTAGAAGGTAGGTCTGATCATTTGATGGAGGTGGTAATACCAAATCTCTCTGCTGAGAAGGAAATTTTTTTATAGAGCCAAGATTTCTTTTTTTCAACAACCTGTTTCTAGAGTTTATCCCCATTGGCTAATCCTACACTGAATGATTTACAGATATGACTTTATTTCAGCTTCACAATTACATTTTCAAAGAACACGGAAAAATCATCCCCAAATTCTCCTCCAGACAATCTAAATATAAAAATTAAAAAATGTAAAACCACAATTTAAACCAAAATGTTTTGACTTCAGAAATCAACCAAGCTTCTAATCTATAGTGCTTTTTATATTTTGACAGCCCTTAAACACTGAAGCAACAGAAAGAACTAAGACTAATAAGGAATACTGTTCATTAAAAACACATAGATTTTACATTTCTGCTAATGGAAGAACAGATCATTCTTACATGCCTTCCTACTTAGAATAACTTGAAAGCCTCTGAAAAAGAATCAACGTACTTGAAGGCATTAGAGTGCTAATGAGATAGTAAGGAAATATCAGACCAGTGTGCAGGGAAAGAAAGAGAACCAGAGGGGTAAGCCTATGACTGATGCTAAGCTCGACGTGGGTACATTTGCCAATTTCTGCAAGAGCAGCTAAATGGTAAATAGATTTTGAAAGCCTCTCCAGTATATGAGGACAGTCAGTGGAATCCAGGACTCCTTAAGAGAAGGGGAACCAGTAACCCCCCTCCTTGACAATCTTCCTTCCTGTAGTTTGGGACCTAGGACTACACCCCAGGAATAGGAGTGACCTGGAAAAACATAGGAACTCACTGGTAAACTTTCAAAATACCTTAACCACTGAAATTGGATTGAGTGGATCTCAGAATAATATACCAGAAGCAAAAGAAAACAGTCATCCCCCTTGGAGAGAGAGATCAACATTTTAGGTGTTACTTCATCTCTAGAAACGTATTTTAAAAGTCAATGTCTCACACGTCTATGCACACACACATACATGTGTAAGGAGACATAATAATGTGAATAAAAACAAACAGAAAAGGTCCACTTTTAGAATTATGAGATGAAGTCTCCAAAAAGTAACAAAGCTTAAAGTAGTCAATGAAATAAAAAAACACGTTGAACATTCCAGCAGAGAACTGAAAACAATTAAAAAATAGCCAAATGGAAATCTTACAACCGAGAAATAAAATGACATCTTCAGAAATCAACAGATGGGTTTAAATGCAATTGAAGAGAGGGAAAGCATTAGTGAATCTGAAGATAGGTGCAAAGAAAATATCCAGAATGAAGCAAAGAGATAAAAAGGAAAAATACAGAAGAGAGGATAGCGGAAAAACATTAATCATAAAGGGGCAGAGTCTAATGTGTGTGTAATTACAGTCCAAGAAAACAAGAAGGGAGAGGATGAAGCAGAAGGAATTTGGATGTGATTGTGGTTAAGAATTTTCCAAAAGTTGATGAAAGAGCTCAAGTCACAGATTCAACAAGCCATACAATCTGCAAACATGATAAAAGATATATTCACTAAGCTGTATCCGATTAAATCTGCTGAAAAGTAAAGACAAAAAAAAAAAAAGAATGGAAGCAGTAAAAAAAAATAAAACTACCCTTGGATAAAAAACAATTAAATTGAATGATTTTTAAACAAGAATGATGGAATCCAAAAAACAAAGGAAAGCTATCTGCAAAGGAACTTTCAAAAGAAGAAAACTACCAACCGAAAATTCTGTACCCAGGCAAAATACTTTTTAAGAAGGAAGGTGAAGCAAAGACATGCTCAGGAAAACAAAAACTGAAGAATTCTTCATTAACAGACTTTAACTAAAGAATATATTTAAAAGGTAAAAGGAATACAAGTTCTGTCTGGAAAAAGTTCAACCACTGTTAATGTAATGAGAATGGTTTGTGTGACATCCATGTAACCTGGCAGCCACAGAGAGTGGACTGGAATGCACAGTTGGGAACTATGATGACTTCACTGTACCAGTCAGTGGGGAGTTAGACACCATTGAGTGAGCATGTGTACTGTGTGGCCGGCCATCTCATTCAAAATGACTGAGTGAGTACGTCAACAAAGTTTGATCTACTACACCAAAGTTTGTGTTAAGTTTGAACATTCCTCCATGGAAACTATTCTGATGATTCAGAAGTCTTTCAGGAATGATACAATGAGTGTAGTGCAAAAAAAATGTGGCATGAATGCGTCAAAGATGGTCAAGAATATGTTGAAAGCGATCCACATTCTGGAAGGCCTGCAACAAGCAGAACACCTGCAAATGCTGAATGTGCGTGGGCTGCAATCAGTGACTGACAGTGTGAGAACTGGAAGCTGGCCTGGGGATTCCAAAAACTACTGTGCCCGAGATTTTGATGCAGGATCTTGACATGAAACATGTTATGGCAGAAATCGTTCCATGGTTTCTGCTACCAGAGCAGAAGGAGCATCGTGCTGCAGTTGCTAATGACTTGATTCAAACCACGACCAATGAACTGGATTTCCTCAAGAAGGTTATAACTAGAGATGAATGGTGAGTCTATGGCTACAATGATCTGGAAACAAAGGCCCAGACATCCCAATGGAAGTCACCTGGTTCTCCACCCCAACAAGTCACAGCAAGATCAAGACCACGTTAACTGTGTTTTTTGATTGGGAAGGTGTTGTCCATCATGAGTACAACACCCCTCCCCCCAGGGCAAACAAATAAACAAAGAGTGCTACCTCAGTATTTTTCATTGGTTGAGAGATGCGATATGATGTAAATGGCTGCAGTTATGGGCAATTGGTGATTGGCAGCTTCAACACAGCAATGTGCCCACTCATGAATCACATCTCAGAGTTTTTTGGCAAAACATCAAATCACACAGGTGACTCAGCCCCCCCTACAGCCCAGATTTGGTGCCCTGCAACCTCTGGCTTTTCCCAAAACTAAAATCACCTTTGAAAGGGAAGAGAGTTCAGAGTGTGGATGAGATTCAGGAAAACAGGACAAGGCAGCTGACAGCGATTCCAGCAGAGGAGTTTACAGTGTTTTGAACAGTGGAAGAGACACTGGGAGGACTGTGTGAGGTCCCAAGGTGCCTACTTTGGAGGGGACTTCGGCGTCATTGTCCTATGTACAGTGTTTCTTGTATCTTGTATCTTCAACAATAAATGTCTCTTATTCATAGTACATGAATGGATACTTTCTGGACAAACTCTTATCATCCAGGATTTTCTCTGGTTGGATATAGAAAAAAAAATAGAGAGCAGGTAAAGTGGTAAATAGGTGGGCAAATCTCAATGAATATCAAGTATAAGACAAGAGTAAAATCTGTGGTTAACAGGTATAGAGAATTAAAATACAGTATAACAATGGCACGTAAGGAGGGAGCGGATGAATGGAG